TAACAAATATAATATAATGCATGAAGTCCGGTGAGAGGAGGACTATGTGGGTATGGATGTGGGAGGGGATATAAAGATGATTAAGATGTTTTGTATGAAATGCACAATAATTCAATAAGCAATATACATTAAAAAAGAAATGCTCCCTTCATACCTCAATATCCCCAAATATATAAAATCCTGTCTCTAGGTTGAACCTCTAAACTAATAAGGTAGGCTATAAACCTAGATTAAAGGAAGCGGTAAAGGAATAAAGAACTTTCTGTTAAGGAGATGATGGGGGATTAATCTGATAAAGAAGCATATTAGTTTACTAGTTTATTAGTTTTTTTATGGATGACAATGAGTTTCATGAAATGAGAACAATTTTCAGAAGACAAACTTTTATTGAGGTGATTCTTTTGTCACTTCTCTCATTATCCTATAACCTCACCCTTCTGAGGCATGAGTTTTAAATGCACCTTTCCTAGAGCCTACCACTTAGAAAACGTCTAGGCATTAGGATGTTGGATTTTTACCCTTTATACAAGTTCATATGATACCAAACTAACCCTTGGAAACCAGATACTGAGCATTCCCCAAACTAGGACTTTTTCAACAAAGGCCAAACTAGGAGAAAGAAGAATCCAATCCTCTGAATCAAATATCTCTTACATCTACAAGCCACTTCTCTATTACAAAAGTAAAATTATGTGCCAAAGATTGGAAACACCAAGCCACAGAAAGTCCTGTGATGAGTGGCTCATCATATGCTTATGCTTACCCTAGGCGCTTAGTTTGAGCAATGGAGCCTAGGAGCCATGGTGAAAGATCTGTCTAGACTTGTCTCCTGGCTGGTTGGCCAAACTGCTACCTAATCAGGACCATTTTCCCTCTGTGCATGGCAGCAAAACAGGTCTGGTTTGGCCACATATATCTGGTAACTTTCTCTTTTCATTAGAATATATTTTCTTCACATGAATTTCATCCCAAGATGAAAACTCATTTAAGAAAGTTACTCATTTTAACACCATTTAAAACAAATTATGATTAGGAAAGTAAAAGCTTATATTTTTTTTCTTTGAGACACGGTCTCCCTGTAGCCTCAGCTGGCCTGGAACTCACTATGTATACTATGCTGGCTTCGATCTCATAGAGATCTGCCTGCCTCTGCCTCCCAAGTGCTGGGATTAAAGGCATGCGCCACCATGCCCAGTGTTTTAATTGCATGCAAAATGTACAATATATCTTAATACTTCATTTTATAAAACAAAAGAGCTTCTAATTATTATTATCAGCAGATTAGTTTGTTATGTGCTGAGCGTAAACATTTTTACATACTAAAAGTTAAGATACTCACAGTCGCAACTCTTCAAATGTTTTTACTGAATAGAGTGGAGAGCTGGGATCCTTTTGTAAGACTTCCACTCGGTGGCTGGATTCTACTAAGGATTGACGGATTAACTTGTTTAAGAGTGAATTGGCTGCCAAATCCACTAGAAAAGCAAAAATAAAGGGGGATATCAAGCCTCTTCAGTGGCTTATGCCTGCCACTCAGTAGCAGAATTTATCACAAACAACTGTACCTACTCCCATCTTTCTTCTAAAAGCAAGTTCAAGACAGACTGATATAGCACTGAGAACTCCTCCTTCCACAAAGATCCAGTTTCTTATGCTCTGTTGCACCAATCTCTGACCATAAGCAATCCAGTATCTATTTCCCTGTACAGGACCTAATTCTTCTTTGTCAAGCTGAAAATTCTGAATCCACGCCTTGCATTTTCAAGTTCCTCTAAAGAAATATACTCCCAATTTAGTATTTCTTCTAACATTATTCACTAAAAAAAGTACTTTCCCAATAAACTATTTAGATTTTTAAAGTGATGAGAAACTCAACATGCAAACAAACTTGTCTCCTACCTACATCATCTTCATCATTTTCTTCCATGTTAAGGGAGCCATCTAAAAAGGTAGAATAGAAACAATAAATGTAATGAAAAATGCTAAGCAGAAATATACAGGGTACTCTTTCAAGTTTTCTCCCACATTCGACAGAGTGTACAGAGTCATTCCCTGGAAGAGAAGGCAGTGGAAGGTCTTGACATAAATGAAGAGACAAAGCTATTTCAGCTGTCAGGTAAGGATGAACGCAATAACTTTTAATGAAGTGAAGCCGGCCTGCTTTACCCTAACAGCACTCACCTATGTTTGGGATTGTGGTACTCCTGATACCCCGAAGGTTCTTCCTGGGATGGACGAGATTTGAAAACTATTGAAAGGCACAAATTTCAAACATTAGGAAGCAGGCCATCATGTAGGAAGCCCACCGGCTATACTAACAGCAGAGCCAGAGGAGACCACCCCAAACTGCTTCTTTTGCAATGTTAGGTAATAACGATTATGTTTTAAGCAATCAGTCTACTGTATGAATTACCCTTAAAAAGGACGAGAATTTCTGCAGTCCTCTTTATAAGGCCTCTTAGTCTTAAACATGGGCAGTACCTGGGTGGTTTACAACACCCACAAGGGGATGGTTGGCTAGGAAAGAACGTTGGCAGATAAAGACGGGAAGCCAGCAAAATGGTCAAATTAGGAGAGCACAAAACTCAGTAGAGTTAGAGCTAGCAGCTGCCTTCCCTCTCTGGATTTCCAGGGGTCTTCGGTGTGTTCTTTTCAACCAGAGGTCTGCCCTCTCCCAGGGAGTCTCCTTTACATGGGCCCTTTCCAAACCCGTCCACACCTCCCCCATCGCCTGACACCCCACTCCAAGGCCAGCGGGGCTCCCCGTCCCCCTCCCTCCCAGGGACATACCCCGGAGTCCCTGTCTAGCCCCCGCCCCCAGGCCCTCCCCTGCTCGGTGGCGGTTACGTGGCAGTTCAGCCGTTCGCTTTCTGCTGCCCCGGCGTCGCCTCCCCAAAGTAACGACGCCATAGCTGCGGTCTCCGCTCCCGCCCCTGGCACGTGCTTCCACCCCCGCGCCGGGCAGCGCCAGCTCGTGCAGCAGCCAATGATCTGGCTCCCCGGCCGGCGTCGGCCTCGCGACCACCCCGCGGCCTGGTGCGCAGGCGCGTACTCGGCGCGGGCTCTGCACCCGGCGGGTAGAGGAGGCGGCCGGCGCCTTCCGTTTGGTCTGCGGGCCCTGAGCCGCGGACCTGGTACCCTCCGCCGCAGGCTCCCTGCCGGGTCTCCCCAGACCTAGCGTCCGGGCCTCGCCACGTGACCCGGGAGGCTGGGGGCGGGTGGATACGACGGAGGGCCTGGGATGGCAGGTTTCGGGCGCAGGCAGAGTTCAGACGCCGCGGTCTGCCCCAGCCTAGAGATTGCTGTACGCGCTGATTTTCATTTTTATCCTACGGCGTGGGCCTTAAAGCAAACTCAGCCACCACTACTGCTACACGCACTGCACAATCTGGAACACAGCGCTTATGCTTATTTCAAGTTTGGATCAAAGAACCAGGTTTTTCCGTTTTCCGAGTGGAATTTTAAGAGTTGGGGCAACGTGAGCACCTCTGGAACAGGCGAAAATCCACGGAGCGTCGGGACCTCTCCGTGGTGCTGAAGCAGCTCTCAGTTCTGTCGGGGATCTTCGCCGCTTCTTGAAGTCGTAGCCTCCTTTATCCTTTGCATGTGCTTCTAATAGTACATGTTTTCGTTAACTTTCTAATTAAACTAACTTTAATTAGAAACTAACTTTAACTTTCTAATTAAACTAGGTATAAAATTGGGCCAGAATTTTCGATATCTTAGTTTTCCTATAGAAATGCGGGCATTTGAAAAACCATCTTTTAAGCAGAGCTAGAATTTCTCCTTTTGTTCTGGTATTGACAGTGCCCTGTCGGGGTGGAGGAGAGGAGGCGGCCTTAGAAACTCCGGGGGTGGTGGGGTGGTAGTGGAGGTTTTTCCCCCAAGACCGAGCTCCTGGGCTTCAGAACTACATTTCCCATAAACGTGGCTGCAGCTCCCATGAGGCCGCGCGCGCCCGCAGCAGACCGGTGACGACTTCCGGCCTCACCTAGGGCTGCGCGGCAAATGACCGGAAGGTAGGTGAGGGCTGACTCGGGTGGGCTGCTTTTGGAGCTCTGCAGAGGAACGAGCAGGCCGAAGGTTCCCCACACTCCGTGCTTAGGTGCTGCAGAAAGGCGCTGCTATATGCTGTGAGACTTCAGGCCACGCAGCCTCTGTCGTGCCGGTGACTTCTGGCGCCGCATCGAGGGGCTTAGATTCCGGAACCGGAGCTTAGAGGGCCCTTCGATGTGCGGTTAACTGCTGCGCTAGAATTGTTTACTGAAAAGCAGCTGTAACCCAGTCTGGATGGGATGGTATGGGAAAGGAGGCATGGTGGGAACTTTCACTTTAGGGGAACTGCTTACAGACCATAATTGCTTTTCATATTGTGTCTCGAATCCTTTGGCTAGCACTCTATCACGAGGAAAGCTATTTCTACCTTTCGTCTGGTTACTTTTTAAAAAAGACTCCCCCCCCCTTTTTAAGAGTATTTCAAACATGCATATAAGGAGTTTTGATCAAATCCGTACCCATTCCCTCCCCTCCAACTCCTCCCATATCTCCCCATCACATTTTTCTGATAACTTTATGTATTTTCTTTTTCGATTTTTTTTTTTTTTATGGGGCTTTTGGCTACTCTAACGTTCAGAGGTAACCCTAAAATCTCTTTAGGATTAGATAAAAGCTCAAATATTTTCGACATTTTTGACCTTTGGAACCGAGTATGTTGCTAAGAGGCCCAAGGACATTGTGAGTTTTAGCCAAGAAACTGCCTACTTTTCTTTGGGGTCTTTTTCTCCTAACTGCTTAACCAATTCCTACCTCCTAATCTTACCACACCTTCCTCTGAAGAGGTTACCAAAATTGGCAAGACCCACCATTTTTTAAAACTTAGAAGTTTGAACGTTCGGTGATGGCTGTTTTTGTACGATTAGCACACCAGGAACACCCTTCTGGTAATCTGGTGGTCATTACCATTTGATATTTTGTCTACCGCAGTACTGATTGCATTTCACTGATAAACCTATCGGTGTACTGTCCTGGAGAAAACAGTACTGGGTCCAGCTTTGTTAGTCTTTTAAAAAAACAAAACAACCCTCTTGGCCTAATTCTTCAGTTTATAAGGGGGCTAAACAGAGATAATCACTTTCAGAACTTTGAAATCCAGATAAAGGTAAACCATTAAACAAAATCAAGCAAAAAACCGATAGTTACCTTAAACCAAGTTTCTAGAGTTGGGCTTTAACCTTTTCCTGTACTTTACATGACAGATCTTGCTACATGGTTTACAACATTATTTGCCTCATTTAATTGTCTTTTTCCATTAGTTAGCATCGTACTAGCTTAGACATTTCACCACTGGAGTTTGCAGTATTTACACTTGCAGTGACAAGCGGAGTTCGTTTTTCTTCCTGATACATACCAGCACTGGGAACTGGGTGAATGAATTATATAGCCTCAAATACACGCAGGATGTATTTTAGCAGATAGTAATGGCCAATTTTTTTTTCCTTGAACAAGCAAATTGTCACTTTTCAAGCCTAAATTTAATGCCTAAAACTGGCAACTTTGATTTTAGGTATTCCTTACTGGATTAGGGGTATCAAGAATGTAAGGTGCAGCATAAAACAGAATTATTTTGATCTGTACCCATCTAGGTCCATTTTTGTATTTACAACTGACTCCATGAAAGACCGTATACAAAAGGCCGTGGCTGGGTTTGGTTGATCAGAGGTAGACTCATAGGCTAGGACTGAGATTATCTTTGAGAGGTACTTAAAGAATAAGGTTCAAACTCATTAACTTCTAAATATTTTTAATTAAGCCTTTTTCAAAACAGTACTTACTAATTTGACAAAATCCGAAGACCCAGCTTGCTGTATTTGAGAATGGCAATTTAGGAATTAGTGGTGTATGATACCTATGTGATCAGCGCTAGCTAGGAAAGACTAATGAAGGCTTTTCAAGTCAGTTGTTTGTATTTAAAGGGAGATATTAAGAACTACGTTGATTCTAAACCATCCTGTAGTAGGAAAGACAGTTTTTATTTTTGTTTTTTTAAAAAAAGGAGACTTAAGAAGGAGAAAGAGGGAAGGGAAGCTTCTTGGGCATGACACCATTTGCAAGGTCACAACGAACACCCCAACGAAGAGCTGATCTTTTCTTCTCAGTTGGTACTAGGTAATTATTTGGAACATATATGTGTTGAGGCTTGGATTGGGGCTCTGTACGGGAAAGCATCTGACCTCGGACACTCCAGCGTAACTCCTTCCTGTGATCTTCACCAGGGAACCGCATTGAATCCCAGTCCCTTTTGTACTCAAAATACCGGGCTACTCGGTCTATCTTCCCCCGGTTTCGGCTTAACTGGTCTAGCCTGGGGAGAATAAAGGACTTGGGTCTGCTAGCAACAATCAAGTCTTGCTCATAAGCTGGAGGGCCCATTTCTTCTCTTTGTAGATAGCAGAGGAGCTGATGATCTTCTTGTGAAATTCCTTGGCAGTCATGTTGTGGTAGATTAAGTTTTTGTAAAGCATCAACTGGGGGTCCTGTGTCTTCTTGGAACTGCAGGTTCATAAGCCTGTTTCTTAAGTCCCAGAGATCCAAATCACTTTCTGTGCCAGACTCGGATTCACTGATAATCGACTCATCTGTCACTAACACTTCTCCACCTGGCTTTCTACGCAGCACCTTTCTCTTCATAACTGGCTTTCGGAGTTTTGGGGAGGTCTCTGAAACTGTTGATGAAGCGACATGACTTCTTATATGTGGGTACTGTAGCTGCACAGGAAGAGCAGGCCTCTTTCCTGGTGTAACTGAGGCTTTACTGTAGGGATCGTAGTACTGGTTAGCCTGGGTTTCTCTAATACCTCCTTCACCCCTCCCTGCACAGATATGTGTAAAGGCTGTAGCAGCTAACATTTGTTGTTCTGGATCCATACTGGCCCATTTTTGTCCATAAGGGCCTATCAATTGCTCCAATGCTTCCTCTGCACCATAAGGCTGTCTGCAAGAGAGAACATTTCTCAGTTTTCAGATAAATACCCAGCTCATTAACTACTCATTCTTTATCAATTTTATAGTCAAATGAAAAAGACAATTCAATAGTTAATGGTAGAGATTTATCTATCGCCTTTCATTTTCATTTTCCTAACACTGTCTTAACTGCCTTGCCCCCTTTAGTAGTTCCTATAAGAATAGATGAGTTCTGGCATGTAAAGTGCATCATGCTTAGCGTACAGTATAAAAACACATTTAGAGGCTATTCTGGTTACTCTTACTTGTTTAGCATTTATTAATCCATGTAATCCTTAAAATTTTAGGGTTAGTTCCTTTTCACCTGAAGCCCCAGAAGTTAACTTGTGCAAAGGTACACAGCTAGTAAACAGAGGAGATGAACTGTAGCTCAGGCAGTCTAGTTTCACATTGAGGCCTTGCTTTTAATCCTAAATGATATAATCTAAACAAAAAATATTACAGGGGCACACATACACGTATGTCATATGTTCCAAGATAAATCTGTTCTAATAGAAGTAATTTTTAGTACTCAAACCTCCAGTTAAATATCTAGTAGTTGGTTTCCTGACTAGAGTTCAGGGAGGTATCTATTGCCTGATACTTTGTTTCCCTGCTGTTTTTCTATGGAAAGATATGTACATGTAATTTTAAGCAAGTATTTCCCTCTCCCTGACGAAATTTCTCTCTAAGAGGCAGTTTCTTAGGATTTTTCTATAATTTTCCATATTCATAGTTTTTATACTATAAAGGAGCATAGTATAAAGCCTCCTCCAAACAAAGATAATCATGGTAATTAATCTCTATCAGCACATTTGACTTCATTGTTTAAAGTTTTTTCAAATTTTCATAATTTAGATTTATGGTCACTTGTTAAAAACTAATGTACAATGAGTATTAAGTTTTTACATACTTGTACAAGCATGTAGCAACAGGTTAAATTTCCAGACATGTAATAAATAGGTCAAGGCTGGGTGTGGTGACGCAGGCTTTTAGTTCCAGCACTTGGGTGGCAGAGGCAGGTGGATCTTTGTGAGTTCCAGGCCAGCTGGGGCGACAGGGAGACCATCTCAAAAAGACCAAAAAAACCCCAAAAGGTCAAAAGATGTGTTCTCCAGTTTTGATAGCTGTTGTCAAAATGCTTATCTCTAGCATTCTGAGGCAGAGGCAGGCAGGTCTCTGAGATCAAGACCAGCCTGGTCAGGTTTCAGGCCAGCTGGGGCTACAGGGAGACCCTGTCTTAAAAAAACAAAATGTACCCCAAACAAAACACTTACCTCTAAAGTACTAATGATAAGAGGTTGGTTTTCTGTCTCCCTTCATGTGGTATACTATCAAACTTTCTCATCCTTATAGTCTGTTTCATGAATAATTGTTCTCAAGTACTTTGAACCTGAACATACTTTCATATATTTATAAGCTTTTTCCTTCTTTTGTATGAAATGACTAGTCTTTCCTCATCCTCAGGTTGTTAGCATTTTATTATCTTTATGTTAAAACTGATTCTATGAATATGTTTGCCATTTACTTTTTTGGGGGAAGTGCCAGAAATCAAACCAGGGCCTTGTGTGTTAGGCAGGTGCTTTCCCCTCCCACTGAGCTAGGTCCCCTAGCCCATTCTGTTGTTTGCCCTCCTTCTGCTTTGGGACTATAGTTCAGTGATGAGTGCTTGCCTAGCATGTATGCTAGGTCCAATTCCTAGTAAGTGTTTTGGGGGGGTGGGTGGATATGGAGCCTTTCTAAAGTGTTTTTCATGTTCCTTCTAGTAATATTTTGGCTTTTGAGATTTAAATGTTGAATCTACTAATCGTAGATATGGAAACCCAAGGGTTTAAAAAGAACTACTTAGACTTAGGTGACATAGTCTTACAACAGATGTAGAAATGTAGAATGATCTTCTATAACTCTGTAGCTCTAATATGGATTAATTAGAACTGTCCCAATCTTAATGTGGTACAGTTGTCCTATTATTGAAATACACCAGAAATCTCAACATCCATATCTAAATTATATCAGATTAACCTTTCTATTATAGCATTCTTTTATGAAAACACATTAAATTTGGTTTTAAAAAGTAATGCTCAATTACCTTTTTTCTGCCATTGAAAGAAAAGCTTATCTCCAGATTCTACTTCCAATGTGAAATATAATCACTGATAATACTCCTTCAGTTAGGATAGCTTCTATTGTGCCACCTTTAAAACAAAACACATTAGATAATAAAACATATGGGCCACTTAATAAATAAATCTGACCATTAGAAATTAGCCAAATGTAATGAGAAGTCAAGAGGAAAAGTTACAGGGAGAAAAGACAGTAACATGAGCCCTCATTTATCTTGGTTTGTGAATAGAGAAATGAAATCTAGACATTTCCCCTAAAATTTTTAAAGAAAAAAATTTAAATTTTTTAAATTTTCCTTTGTGGAATAACCACATAGAATGCAAAAGAATGTCTGTGAGTGATCAACCCATAAAAATAATTTAATTTCTGAAAATATATGTGTAGAGAACTGACCACAGCCCCCCCCCCCCCAATCAACTAGTGCTCAAACTGGTGCCTCTGGACACCTTGGGCAAAGCCTATATACTATTTGGCATCAGATTAAAGTTTTGATGCTGTTTTGTTGTGTTGAGATAGATGTCTTGCTCTGTAGCCCTGGCTGGCCTGAAACTTGGAGCAATCCTCCTGTTTCTGCCTCCCAAGTGCTGGTAGAAGCTTCCACTACCATGCCCACTTAGATGCTATTGGATCATTCTAATATTGACAACACCAAAGGAACTAGCACCCAAATTGCTGTATTCCCTTGTTCTCTTTTCCAGGTGGGGTGGATCTGTGTGATTTCTTCCTGGGCCCGTCGTCATGGCTAGAAATGACACAGATAGAAACCAGGTTGAGAAGCTCCTAATCAGAATAAAAGAACTAGAATGGGAGGTGGAAAGACTTAAGAAAGAACAGACCAACAACAAAGTCTCAAACCTTAGAGAAAATTCTTCAGGATCTGGAAAAGCTAAGCGTGCATTTGATTTCAGTGCTCATGGCCAAAGACATGTAGCTCTAAAAATTGCCTATCTAGGCTGGGGATACCAAGGCTTTGCAAGCCAGGAAAATACAAGTAATACTATCGAAGAGAAATTGTTTGAGGCTTTAAAGAAGACCCGACTAGTAGAAAGCAGACAGACATCCAACTATCACCGGTGTGGTCGAACAGACAAAGGAGTTAGTGCCTTTGGACAGGTAAGGACCAATAACATACTGTTCTCAAAGCAAGTAATACCAGGAAATCTGAGTGTACACCAGGAGTACTGAGATTATTTTTATCTCTGAAACACAGTATCTCTGTATAATTCCACAGGTGATTTCTCTGGACCTACGTTCTCAGTTTCCAAAAAGCAGGGATTCAGAAGATCTCAATTTAAAAGATGAAGCCAATGATGTCGCTAAAGAGATCCGTTACACCCACATTCTCAATCGGGTGCTCCCTCCAGACATCCGTGTCCTGGCCTGGGCCCCTGTAGAACCTAGCTTCAGTGCTAGGTTCAGCTGTCTTGAGCGGACATATCGCTATTTTTTCCCTCGTGCTGATTTAGATATCATAACCATGAATTGTGCAGCTCAGAAGTATGTTGGCACTCATGATTTCAGGAACTTGTGTAAAATGGATGTAGCCAATGGAGTGATTAATTTCCAGAGGACTATTCTGTCTGCTCAAGTACAGCTAGTGGGCCAGAGCCTGGGTGAGGAGAAATGGCAAGAACCTTTCCAGTTATGTCAATTTGAAGTAACTGGCCAGGCATTCCTGTATCATCAAGTACGGTGTATGATGGCTGTTCTCTTTCTGATTGGTCAAGGAATGGAGAAACCAGAGATTATTGATGAATTGTTAAACATAGAGAAAAATCCCCAGAAACCTCAATATAGGTAAGTTAAACCAAACTAGTATATCCCCCTTCTCTCCTATGATTGTCTAAATAACTAAGCCACTGATTCTGCCTGTATGAAGCTTTTAACTTGTAGAATGTTTGAACACGTGCAAGGGGGTGGCATCGGTTAATTGTCTCATTGTTCTATCCTATTAGTAAGGAAACAGGTATTTGGACCAGGCACCTTAAAGTACATTCATTCCCACTTCTTTTGTTTCTGAATTATATGTTAGCAGGCATTTTAGGTTCCGATAAAATAAAAATGTGAATATTCAAACTATTCACATTAAATCTTGCTTATTTGTATTACTCAGTGATCATAAGCTGTATTTTGGAGTTGTTTTTTTTTTCTAATTCTCAGCTTCTGAAATGGAAGGAAAAGGTATAAAAGAGGTTTTTCTTTTAGAAGCTGTGGTTAAAGACACTAGTAATTCATTCCGAAGCTGTGAGAATGCCATTAACTAATTTGAATAAATACCTGTTGAAAATTTTACGGTATGATGGAAGCTGCATCATCTTACTCGTGTGGTGACTTACTACCAACATTTACTTAATACAGATCAAATAGATCATTGTTGCTTTTCTCCCCCTCTTTAAAAAAAATGATTATTCCAAAGAGAGGCAATTTTTAACATTTTCCAGAAATAACTTGAAGCAGGTTATATAAAAATATGTATATAATGAAGTTTAAGGGGAGAAAATAGGAATAAGAAAGCAAAGACCAAAAGATTTGCCAACATGGGGTCAACTTTGGTGGAATAATGAGGTTTCCATTAGCTCTGTTTTTTTTTTTTAAATCCTAATGTGTTTGTTGGAGTTGCTAACAGAGCATAGGGTGGGGTTTTATTTACAGAAGAATGGCCCCCCCACCCCATTTACAGCTGTGCTGAAAAGTCCACAAATATAGATCCTGTGACTTCCTGACAGCCGCACAAGTGCCTCAGCTTATATATCTGTAGCCCCTCCCCAACATGCAGCTAAGGTTGACTGGGTGGGAGGGGCAACTGACTTCCCCATCATGGGAAGGAGGTGTGACTATAACTTGCTGGCATAGTGGCTGGCAGAGGATACTTCCAGTTAATACTCCACCCCTTCCTCCAGCTCTTACATTCTTTCTGCCAACCTCTTACGCAAAAGTTCCTGAGCCTTGGAGTTTTCCCTCTCTTTTTAAAAGGAGTTATGATAAGGTTATTCCGGGTTAAGACAGTCATATTTTCTTACCTATTTCTTAATATTGACATTAGTGGGTCTTTCCTGCCCCTTTTAAAATCAACTAAACCTCAGGTTTTAAAAAAGAACTACTGGATGTTGGGTGTGCCTTTAGACCCAGCCCTTGGGAGGCAGAGGCAGGTGGATCTCTGTGAAACTGAGGCCACTCTGGTTTACATTGTGACTTCTAGATGGGCTATGACTAGAGAGATCCTGTCAAAAAATAATCAACAACAACAAAAAAAAAACAAAAAGAACTACTGGACTATTGGATGCTGGATGCTATGTATTCTCATACTTAGTTTCTTCTTTCTCTCTAGTATGGCTATAGAATTTCCTCTAGTCTTGTATGACTGTAAATTCGAAAATACCAAGTGGATCTATGATCAGGAAGTTCAGGAGTTCAATGTTACCCATCTACAACAACTGTGGGCTAATCATGCTGTTAAAACTCACATGCTATACAGTATGCTACAAGGACTGGACTCTGTTGTGATACCCTGTGGGGCTGGAACGAATATGGATGAAACAACAGACTGGAGAAAAATTAAGCCTTCTATCATAAAGCAGACCAGTGCCTTCGTAGAAGGAGTGAAAATGCGCACATACAGGCCCCTCATGGATCGCCCTAAATGCCAAGGTTTGGAATCCCGAATTGAGCATTTTATACGTAGAGGACGCATTGAGCACCCACATTTACTCTGTAAGGAAGAAAGACAAGCCAAAAAGGACTGTGATGACACAGAAGAAAATACTATTTTAGAGAGACCAACAAAGAGGGTCTGTGTAGATGCAGAAATTGAAAGCGTATAATCCCAGGAAATGAGGATCTGTACCAGGGTCTAGGGAGCAACAACCAGCTAGTATGTGTATAAATGCAATACCCAAAAAATCTTAACAAGAAACACCAACAAGAATTCAACAAAGGCTTAAACATTCTCTTATCCCTGTCTAAAAGAAATGAAACCAAAAGCAATTGTAGGTTATATATATCCCTTGAAATCTGTGCCTCGTGTTCAAATTCAGTAAAACCTGATTGTGTATCTCATTTATTATTGCCACTTTTTTTCAAGGCAGAAGAGATATTTCAAGACAAATCAGAATTCTTATTCTCTCAAAAATTTAATAGTATTAAATTCCATCAATTAAAGACTGGCTTGTTTCAGTGCCAGGCATGAAGCTACCTGAAATGTCCCTACTGAGTGGGGCAAAACACCTTTTTATCAGCCATCTAAGTGTACAGATTGGCAAACTTTCTTTGAAGGATTAGAGTAAATATTTTAGGTTCTAAAGCAAATGGTATGTCATACATTCTTTTTAGTGACTTTTTTAGAAATGTAAGGAACATTCTTGGCTCTTGGGCCATAGTTTTTGCCAACTTCTGGGCTGGCATTTAAGGAAAGTTCAGTTTTACAGAACTGGGAGCTAGTTAAAGAATAATGAACTGGAGCTGAGCCAGGTGTGGTGGTGCACACCCTTGGGATGTGGAGGCAGGACTGGTTCAGGGTCATCCTCTACTACATAGTGAATTCAAGGCCAGCCTGGGCTACATGAAACCCTGTTTCAAAACAAAAAGCAGCAGCTTTAAGGCAGAGGATGCAGCTAGGGTTGGAGATTATAGCTTATTCTTAGTGTGGCTTGAGAGTGACAGAAGCTTCGGTAAGCCATTGTCACATCTGTATCTTGAGGGGGTCCCTGAAGTTTTAAAAGATGGGCTGGAGAGGTGGCTCAGCATTTAAAGAGCACTGACTGCTCTTACAGAGGACCCGGGTTTGATTCCTAGCACCCACATCCATCCTTAACTCCAGTTCTAGGGGAATCCAAAGCCCTCTTCTGACCTCTGCGGCATTGTACGACATGAGTGCACTCACACACATAAAAAAATAAAAACAAGACAGAAGAATTATGTGGCAGAAGCACTGCTCTGGGTAAATATGGACTAGAAAAGGCTAGAATGCAGGCTGTTTGAGTAATCAACAGAGGATGGTGGCATGGAGTAACTGTTGTGAGGGGATGGGGCAAGGTAGGTCAAGCTGAAGTTAGCCAACAGGATGACTCTGTGGGTGACCCAGAAGTAGGGAGGCTTTCAGGATAACACTCCAGTTTCAGATCTGACCACATGAGTAGCTGGTGGTACCACAATGAGATGGGAAAAAATGAGGTGGGGCTTCACTTACTCTTAAAGCAAAGAGACCCATAAAAATATAATTCCTGCCAGGTGTGGTGGCGCATGCCTTTAATCCCAGCACTTGGGAGGCAGAGGCAGGTGGATCTCTGTGAGTTCAAGGCCAGCCTGGTCTACGTAGTGAGTTCCAGGACAGCTGGGGCTACAGGGAGACCCTGTCTCAAAAA